CCAGACCACAGCTGTCACATAGCAAATAACTGTTCTCCATTTGGTTTATGTGCTATAAACCGAGAAACTAACCAATACTCTTGCGCCTGTCTTCCAGGTTACGTGGGTGATGGATATAGATGCTTAGAGATGGAAAGAACTACACCAGAGCCAGCTACTACAGAAACCGTTGAATATACTCAACCAGAAAGTAAGTAATTAAGTTGAATATAATTTCTCTGTTTGTAATGAATCCAGTAATAGTGGTAATTGCGAAAAATTGTATTTTGTTGGGCCAAATATAATTTGTTTCTATGTTTCATGTGTTTGTGAAAGTTATCTGTAATAAAAATAATGACATCAGCAAATATATATACAACAGAGACAATGCTATGGCTATTCCCACCTTTTTTGTCCCGATTATTAACATTTTTCTATTATAAGTAGTTACCCTATTCCTTCATCAATGTCGTGACGCTTTCTTCGAGGGAGTCGTCTCTTTCTTTTATATGGGGAATCCATTCTAATATTCTTTGCGGCCATCTGTGTTCTGTCATTTTCTTTACATATCCAAACCATCTAAACTCTATCTCCTTACTTATATTTTAATCTAGTATCTAGTATTTTATATAGTAAACTACTATATAGTAAACTATTTAATAAATGCTTAAAAGGGCAAAATATCCCTGATGATTGGAATGTTGGATACATCAGCTCAATATACAAAAAAGGGGATAAACGCAATTGCTCTAATTATAGAGGAATAACTGTTACTAGCTCAGTTGGGAGGTTGTACGGTCGAATAATAAAAAAACGAATTGAATCAGAATATGAAGACATAGAGGAACAAAATGGATATCGGGCAGGAAGATCGTGCATTGATAATATATTCGTTCTGCAGCAGGTAATCGAAAAACGGAAGGCAAGGAATCTATCTACCCACCTATTGTTTGTAGATTTAGAGAAGGCATATGATACGGTACCTTTGAAAAAACTATTTATACATTGACGAAAGTAGGTCTCAGTAGAGAGTATGTGGATGCTATCGCAAATATATACAAAAATGCAAGAAGTGTCGTTAAAGAAGGAAACTTTATATCTGAATTATTTCCAATAACCAAGGGGCTTAAACAAGGATGTTGTCTGTCTCCGACCCTGTTTAAAATATATATTCAATCATCGCTAGAGCAGTGGAGAAAACAAGTATCCGGAATGGGAATAGACATAGGCGGTGGTGAATGTCTAACAGCTTTATTTTTCGCAGATGATCAGGTAGTCGTAGCGAATGACGAGGAAGACATGGACTACATGTTTAGAAAACTAAAGAAAGAATATGAAAAATGGGGCCTCAATATGAATATGGCAAAGACAGAGTATCTTGAAATAGGAGATGGTGAAGAAGATCCACAGTTAGAAATTAGAAACACAAAAACATGCAATGAATATAAATATCTCGGACCTATAATATCTAAAGAAGGCACTACCAAAAGAGACATCGAAAACAGAACACAGCAGGGAAAAAACGTGGTAAACATTCTAAACTTTCTACTTTGGTCTAAAGATATTAGACAAGAAACGAAATTGACAATCTATCGAACCTTGGTAGAGCCTATTATGACTTATGGGGCAGAGGTTTGGCAGATAACGCAGAAGGATAGAAAAAGAATAGAAGTAGTAGAAATGGATTTTCTAAGGAGAGCGTGTGGTATATCCAAAAAAGATCACATCAGGAATGAAGATATTAGAAGGAGGACAAATACTGTATATTCCAGTGTAGATAGAATTGAAACGAGACAACAAGTGTGGTATGGTCACGTGAAACGAATGAATGAAGATAGATGGCCAAAGAAAGCTTTAAATTACATACCACAACAAAGAAGAAGAAGGGGAAGGCCTTCAGTTGCCTGGGAAGAAAAGGTACGGCACATAATGAGAGATAGAGCCATCAGAGAAGACGAATGGATGGACAGAAAACGATGGCGTCGAAATGCGAGAAACGGCAGAGGCTGTAGGAACCTCGCTTATATATATATATATATATATATATATATATATATATATATATATATATATATATATATATATATATATATATATATATAGATATATATAAGGATTAGGATTGGTTTATTTTTCGCCCTTTTAAGTTTCAATATTTTTTGCCTATGATTCGTCTTAAATAGTTGTTTATACCTGAGATACAATTCTTTAAATTTTAAAACTTACGTGTTTTCATTAGGAAAGTTGTTTCGGTCATAATATTTACGATTAACTGATTGAAAGATGGTTGGTAAATACATTTCCTTGGTTTCTTGAGACGATTTGATAAATAGGATTATACCACCTATAATCGATGAACACAGCCTTGTTTGTCAACTATCAAGGTGCAGCGTGTTGATTTCTATTTACTACATGTGTAGGTAAATCAGGTTTTTCTTCTTCTTTCCTAGGGCGAAACACTACTTGTCTCACGTACTTGATGTCACCAACAAAAAACCATTAATTTTGTTGTTGATAGTTCAAGGATTTATTCTGTCTACATAGACCAAATGTACAAAAGTTACAGATTCTAATTTTAGATCTGGTTTATCCGTTATTGATTTTTATCCCCAACCTTTTTTATTTATTGTCGTTCCGACGTTTTTTCTATCTAAACGGATTCCCTTTCGATTTTCTGAATGGAAGAAATTGTTGCAGGCTTTAGTTTATTAGTGTTTCTAGGCAACGTAGATGTATTTCGATTCAACTACATGAAACTAACATAACGAAGTTGATAATAGGACTTTCATTGCAGTCTGTTTAATTCTACCTCTTCTTCTTCTTCATGTACCATGTCCTTTCAGAACATTGGTTACCATCATAAATATCTTAAATGTATTCACTGCCACTCTAAATAGCATAATTGTGCCAATACAATACCAATCTTGCAAGTTCTTTAACCATGAAGTCTTTCTTCGTCTTGGACTGCGTTTACCTGCTATTTTCCCTTGCATAATATTTTCTAACAATCTGTATTTTTGGCATCTCATTTGATGTCTAAAGTATTCCAGCTTTCTCTTCTTAATACTTTTAAAATTCGTCTACAGTACCACATTTCAAAAGCCTCAAGGCGATTTTGATCACTTGTATTTACAGTCCAAGACTCGACACCATAAAGTTAAGACTGGGAACAAGTGGCAGCGAACTAGGCAAATTCGCATGCCAATTTTAGATCTTTTTTATATAGCAGGCTCTGGCCTGCTCAATTCTGGATCTAATTTCATCGTGACTGTTTAATTGATATCTGCGTGAATTTCTGCGTTACTGTTTAATTGATATCCAAGGTAAACAATTTGATCAATTTGCTCAAGTTTGGTAATATTGGCATATTAGACAGTTTTATATTCTATTCTGTACTTATTATGAATATGTTGGTTTTCCATATGTTCAGATCTGTTTCCTTATAGCTCTCAACGTCACTGTCAAGTAATGTTTCCAGATTGTCTTGAGTAGATGCTAAGAGTACTGTGTCGTCCGTTTATCGTAAATTGTTGATGACTTCACCGTTCATAATTATTCCTTCTTACAGGGCAAGGAGTATGACTACGGCACGTATGTGCCGTACTCTTTTAATATTAAGAGTCTGATTCCAAACCGTCTACTAAAACTAATGTTGTTTGATTCCAATACAAATTTGCAATTATGCGAACGTCTCTGCCATCCAAGCCAATATCTCTTTGAACTTCGATCAATATACAGTGCTTAATATGATCAAATGCATTTTCATCATCATCAGTAGCTCGACAACCCTTTCTGAGTCCTGGCTTGTTCTAGGATTTTCCGCCATTCTGTTCTGTTCCTTGCTTTGTTTTTCCAGTTGGTAATATTAGGCGTTTTCAGATCTTGTTCAACTCGTTCCATGTATCTAAGTCTGGGTCTTCCCTTTGACCTACTCCCTACTGGTGTTTGCTTCATTACATGTTTTGGTGTTTCAGTCTCCAACATCCGTTCAACATGGCCCATCCAGCGCAGACATCCGATCTTTATTAATGTTATGACCTAGGGGTTCATTGTATGCTGTGTATAGTTCAAAATTCTATATTCTGCGCCATTTATTATTTTTTTTACCACCTTATATTTGTGTATAAGGATTTTTCGTTCAAACGTACCTAATAGGTTCTCATCACTTTTCGACAGTATCCAGGTCTCTGATCCATATACAAGAACCGGTTTTATCAAGGTTTGGTTTTTCTTGTGATGTTATTAGATCTTAGATGTTTAATTAGTCCATTATATGTTTTATTAGCGATATGTATTCTTCTCTCAAATGCCTTTTGGAAGTCAATAATACAACAGTGCATGTCCACAGATATACCACGACTTCTTTGAGTAAGTAAGTCCATCCCAAACAATGCCTCTCTTGTTCCAAACCCGTTATGCAAACCAAACTTTGTATCACTTAGGTATTCCTTGCATTTATTATGCGATCATGTATTACCTTTGAAAAAATTTCAATAAATGGCTTAACAAACTGATGACTCTATAATCAGCACAGGTTTTTGCTGGTGTCTTCTTATGAACAAAAATTGAACCAAGCATTAGGTCCGCTGGTATAAATGGTATTGAAAAACGAAGTTATAGCCTTTAAAACATTGCTAACATTTATAAGCTTGTATATTTCACTATTCTACCTCTGATTGATCATAATACTCAACGTTCCACCGTGAAAACTTTAATTTATTTACCAAGACATTATAATGTCACCTTCATATACCCACTTTTAGTTTTTGGAAGTTAAGTCAGCACACATTTCGGTTTAGTCAGTTCTTTATCCTTAACAAAATTTCTTTCCGTTTTTTTCTTCAAAAAAGATCTTTCTAATATTAAAGGACTTACTCAGCACATGTCAAGACAACGTACAGTTCCACGAATCGACTTCCTCCATATGTAAAAGCACATGTAGAACAATCCGTAAGTCTTATTAGGACATTTTTTTATGAACCATATTTCATTCTCGGATAAATTTTGTCCCGGTAGTTCTTGAGAATCACTGCCATGTTGATTCTCATTAGAGCCGTTTGGTTACTTACTCAGTTACAATTAATTGAGGAGGAAGTTTAGGGCCTAGTTTTCTTTGTATTTTCTCGTCGGGAGTCTATCTGGTAGACGTAGTCTACGTAGCAGCCTATCTAATATCAAGTCTCACTCGAAGAGTAGTCACTGGTTTCCGTGGTATAGTGATCTTTATAGTATCAGCACCCAGCCCCCTCATCTTCTTTGTTGAGCTGAGGATAAGCATTGTCGAGATACTTTAAGTTTCTCGGTGTTTACTATAAGAGTATGCAAATGATCTCGTATTGTTTGTGTCCCCTAGTGTCTCTCTAGTGTCGGATCATAATCCTGTAGTAGTCACATTAAGAATAAAACTAAAGATCATTAAAAAACACATACAGAAACAAATTGACGTGAGAAGACTGAATGAACAACATATAAAAGAGAAAACAATAGTGAACATCAAAGAAAATTTACAAAATATAGAGAAACTGAATAGAAATACTGATAACATAGACCAAAAATGGGAGAATATTAAACATGCCGTAATGTTGGCAGGGAGAGAAAATTTAATACCGAAAGAAAGGAAACATAAAGAATGGATGAATGAGGAAATACTACAGTTGATGCGTGAAAGAAGGGTACACAAAACAAATAATCCGATAAGATACAAAGAAACAGATAAACTGATAAAAAAGAAAATAAGAGAAGCTAGAGAAAGATGGCTAAGTGAGCAATGCCATGAGTTGGAACAATTGGAGCGAAAATATGACTTTTTTAATGTACACAAAAAGATTAAAGAAATGACAGGAAGGAGAAGAACAATACAGACAGGACAGATCAAAGATACAGATGGTATAATTATAACAGATTTATAACAAAAAATGAACCGATGGACAGAATACATATCACAACTATTTGATGACAAAGATAGACAAGAAATCTCAAACGAATATACAGATGATACAGGGCCTGATATAATCAGAGAAGAAATAGAATATGCAATCAAACAAGCAAAAAGTGGTAAGGCCCCCGGTCCTGATGAAATTCCCGTAGAACTGCTCAAACTTATGGACGATGTATCTATTAAAATACTCCTAGATCTATTTAACACAATATATAGAACTGGAATAATACCTAGAGAATGGCTCCGTTCGACCTTTATACTACTGCCAAAAAAGGCAAATACAAAGGAATGCAACGAATATCGTACGATAGCTTTGATGAGTCATGCTCTAAAACTGTTCATAAAAATAATCCATAATAGGATCTATAGGAAATTAGACGTAGACATCAGTAACACTCAGATGGGATTCAGAAAAGGGCTGGGTACAAGGGAGGCTCTGTTTGCAATGAACGTTCTCTCACAGAGATGCTTAGACATGAACCAAGAAATTTACGCCTGCTTTATTGATTTCGAAAAGGCCTTTGACAAAGTACAACATGAACCACTAAGACAAGTTCTAATAAAGAAAAATATAGACAGCCGAGATATTCGAATTATATGCAATCTATATTGGAATCAAACAGCAAATGTCAAGGTTGAGGGCAGACTAACAGAAGAAATTCAAATCCGTCGAGGAGTCCGGCAGGGATGTGTCTTGTCGCCACTTTTATTTAATCTGTATAGTGAAGCTATCTGTGAACAAGCACTCGAGGAAGAAGATCTTGGTCTGATAATAAATGGTGAGACGATCAACAATATAAGGTATGCTGACGATACAGTTCTCCTAGCGGGAACGCTAGTAGAACTACAACATCTCGTTCAAAGTCTCAATATATACTGTAACAGTTACGGCTTGAAAATTAATTTGAAAAAAACTAAATTTATGGTAATCACGAAATCAAAGAACATCAGAGCTAATCTTGTAATAGACAATACAACGATTGAGCGTGTGCCCTGTTATAAATATCTAGGTGCTTGGATCACAGACGATACTGATCAAACAAAAGAGATTAGATGTAGAATAGAAATCGCTAGATCAGTCTTTAATAGAATGCGCAAATTCTTTTGCAATCGTGATATCAATATAAAGTTACGAATACGAATGCTGCGGTGTTATGTCTTTTCTACCCTGTTATATGGAGTTGAGGCTTGGACACTAAAACAGTTGACCATAAAAAACATCGAAGCTTTCGAGATGTGGTGCTATAGGCGCATTCTCAGAATATCATGGATGGACCGCGTCACTAACACGCAAGTACTCCAAACTTTAGACAAAAGATGCGAAATTCTAAATGAGATAAAAACTAGAAAGATGGAATACTTGGGGCACATTGTGAGAGGTGAGAAGTACGAACTTTTAAGAAACATCATGCAGGGCAAAATTAAGGCAAAAGAAGTGTGGGAAGAAGAAAAATATCGTGGCTTCGTAATCTACGTGAATGGTTCGGATGTAGTTCGATTGAACTTTTCAGGCGCGCTGCTAACAAAGTCGCAGTGGCCATGATGATTTCCAATCTCCGCTAGGAGTGGCACGAGAAGAAGAAGTGTCTCTCTTTTTATTTTTGTTCATTTGGTTCATTCACTGACCCAACGAATACTATGGTATAAATAAGACACCGTACTTATGAAGATCCCAATGTAGGTAGTATGAAAGCAGGTACTTCTGATTCAAGACCCATCAACATGTTAAGGTAGAACAGAAAGATATGGAGATGTAAAGCATTTGGCTCTTGATTTTAGGATAAAGGTCTGACGCGACCCCTTACATCCATTTTATTATTATTAACATTTAACTTTTGTTTTAAATATATTCGTAGATAAATTTTTTGTTTACCATTACATTAAAAATATTCTCTTCATTTTTTAATTGTAGATCAGGAAATTTTACAAACATGTACTGCCGATGGTTGTTATTGTCCCTCTGGATATGTAATAGAAACTGGTACACCTTATTGCATTTTGGAGACTACAACTTTACCAACTACGGTTTCTCAACCAACTGAAAGATTACCAGGTTTGATTTTAAAGTCTTACTACATTTATGTTTAGATAGGTAAAATGATAAATGATAATCGTATTTTTTGAGTTACAATAATACAGTTGGTTATCGTGTAGACCATATTTTAGAATGGTAAAATCTGACGAATCAAGACGAAATAAAACATCCAAATATTTGAATTAGATGATAAGGGATTTTATTAAATTAAATCTTACATTGTTCCGAAAAATTTTCGTGGTTAGCACAATTAAACCTAGAGCTAAGATTAATACTATTACAGGAATTAATATTAAACTCAACAGCCTTCCAGGTAGAACCATGTCGATTATCATTGCGTCGAGCTTTTGACATCCTCTTCGATGCTTTCTTCAGGGCTCCCGAGGTCTCAGTCTCCCGAGCCCCAGTCACTACTATACTGATTACTAAGCAATGCATTACTGGTACTGGGAATAGAGGACGGTTCATTTATACCGTCGATGGTGACGTGGATTGGGGGAGGTTGGCGTGGTGGTAACTGGTGCAGGGAATAATTCAAGGGTTTGCGCGAACATTTCTGACAGTCGGATTTTGATTGACGGGTGGAGCGAATGATATTTTCTTTATGAGAGGTCTTTAAGTCGAAGGTAACCGTATACCGTCATCTCTTTTATTGAGACAATTTGGCCTTTTTTTAATTTCTATGACTTCTCGGATAATTCTTGGTTTATAGAAGCAGAGGCGAGCTATGGTTCTGAAGTTTTCAAAATTATTTTGTGACCTGTATGAAGATGGTGTTGACGTACAGCTGAAATTAAGCCGGAATTGTGAACAGAAATAAAATGTTCATAAATCCTGTTTTGGATTCTACGATTTGTTAGGCCTATATAGGATCGGGAGCATTCTGCACAAGCAATTTCATAAACTCTGCGTTTTTAATTTGGAATGTTGTCTTTGATTGATCAAACAAGAGATGAAAGTTTTTGTTTTGTTGATTTTGTCAGTGACACCTTTGATGTAAGGAAAAAAAGGTTTTGTATGGTGAGGGTCTGAGTCTTTGGGTTGAGATTGAGTGGGAGATTAATGTCTGTGGATGTTCATATTGATGTGATTTTCGCGGTAACCGTTATGGATCATGGTCCATCCCTACCATTTCTCGACATTTTCATAAAGAAAAATCAATCCAAACGTTTTCATCACTCTTTTTATTAAAAACACACCCATATCAATCGTTACTTGCATGCCAACTTTCATCATCCCGCTTCACAAATTAATTCAGTCATTAATACGCTTGTCTCCAGATCAATACGCCTTTGCGATGATACAAGTAGACCCTCTGAGTTCTCTAGGGTAAAACAAGCCAAGTATTAATCTTAGCTCTAATATATATATATATATATATATATATATATATATATATATATATATATATATATATACAACCAAACTTATATGGAATCACCCAGTATTTCCGATTTTGTAAAGTATTATGTATAACAAAAAATGTTACAAATGCTTGAAATTAACAAAAACGCAAAAAAAATACGAACAAATAAAAACATTGTAATGGTTGACTAAAGAAAGATACAGTTTTTTTGTTCATTTTAATAGTCAATGTTGCCACCCCTAGCTCTAATACAAGCTTCAATCAGACGAGGAATGCTTCTAATCAAATCGTCAACTTGTTATTGAAGTAAATTTGTCCATTCTTCTAGAGCAGCTTGAATGAGCTGATCCGCATTACCTGGATTATCCCTTCGAGCTCCAATCGTTCTTTAATGAGGTTCCATACATGCTCAATGGGATTAATATCAGGTGAGCAGGCAGGCCAGCTCAGAACAGTGACATCTTCAGTTTCCAGAAAGTCTGTAGCAACTCTGCTGGTATGTGGAGGGGCATTATCGTGCATGAAAATGAAAATATTTCCCACTTTACCTCGCCACAGCCTAACTATGGGTTGTAGTACCAAATCAACATACCGGCGACCCACTAAACTTTGCCGTAAGGGACGCAAAGGTATTTTTTCTCCCATCATAATACCTCCCCAAAACATTAAAGTTCCTCCTTTATATTTTGGAACGGATCTGGCAGTTTTCAGTCTAGCTTGTTCTGGTGTTCCAGACACCAATTCAGCCGATCAATTTTGTTCTGTCTTAATAACTAGGGAATCCTCAACTGCCTCCTGCTAAATAAATTTTGGGAACGAAGTCTCTTTCGTACTGTTTCAACTGAAATGTCAATACCTGTAGTCTGAAAAAGTTGCCTTTGAAGATCAGGATGAGAAGAGGTTGGATTTCTTCTATCTATTTGACCTAAAAACCGGTCTTGTCGATCACTAGTTACTCTACGACGACTTTCTCTAGGCCTGTTCTTAAGTGTACCCAATTCTAAAAATCTCGCATATGTTTTTGAAATATCGCTCTGCGAGACATGTAGCGTAGCTGAAATTTACCTTTCTGACATTCCCTGCTTAACAAGAGCCACAATTCTTCCCCTCTGAACATCTGACAAACCTACGTAGGGCATATTACCTTTTTTGAACACAAACTTAACTTTACTCCGACGTCTCTACAGTATTGTTCTAGACAGTAATTTTTGCTTTACTTAATAGGTTCTTGCAGTGTTGTTAACAATTGCCATGCAAACGCCTCATGTCTCTACTCAGATATACTTCGTGACTATGAATGTATATGCAACGAAGGTTTTGAAGGGAATGGATACTCGTGCGAGCCAGAAGTAATTTCCTGCACTATTGTTGATAACTGCGATCCCCAGGCTATGTGTACATATGACGAAACTTTGGGAAAATCGAAATGTGTGTGTAATGCTGGTTATGTGGGAGATGGATACTATTGTTCTATCAGTGGTAAGTAAATGATATCTTTGATATGGATTTCTTTTATTATAGTACTATTAACTAAGTACTATATTTTTAGGAATAAACTCAAATTATAATTAAAAATATTTTATTTATGGAATTTGCAACTCAGGAATCATTCATATACAAATTAAATCAATTATTTCGTTTTCTGTTCTCTTTGTCTTCTCTGAAGCGATCGCGACCAAATACTTTCATTAACTATTATAGAAGTCCGCGAGATTTCGTCAAATCTGTTATATATAAGCTCTTCGCTAACACTTGATATATCTTTTATTTGACCATGGTTTCCTGTATCAAGGTGATATCTAATATTTTCATAGCAAAAGTAAATTCTGACGCGCCTCTTGAGACGCACAAGTTAATGGGTGATACCTTTAATACTCATTTTGCTCTGCATAGAGTTCTGAACAGCTCGGCCGTATTAATTATATTTGCCTCTCTTAAAAAGACAATTCGGACATACAATATTAATTTTATAGTAGAAGACTTTTAAATGACATAGTATTTTTTTACGTTATGTTCCTGGGGTGACTTTACTGGAAGAGAATTCATTTCGCCATATAAAATCAGCTTTAACCTGAGAATATCCGCAGAAAAAATGGGAGTATATTATTGGTCTTTAATAATTCACAATTTGTAATAATAACCTTTATCCATATTTGGTATACTTAAAACTGATCCGCATCTAACTGCTGAACTTTTGCTCCCCATAATCCGAGAGGTGTAGGAAATAAACCGCATTCCAGCGGGCTGGAAAAAGGGTAAGCTTAGTTAAGGGAAAAGGGTTAGCATTAGTAAGCTTCCAAAAAAGGGCAACCTCACACTGGACAAAAATTGAAGAGGAATAACCTTGCTTGCCGCAATAAATAAAATCTTCACGACCATCATACTTAAAAGATTAACAAACAAGATTGAATTTCGAGCTAGGCAAGCAGGTTTACACCAGAATCCTCCTGCATAGACCAAATTAATACTGTGAGGGTAATAATGGAACAATTGGTTGAATGGAACACATCCCTATACATGATTTTTGTTGACTTCAAGCGTGCCTTTGACAGCTTCTTATGCTGCTTTATGGAAAATTTTAGAGCTAAGAAACATCCCGCATAAAATAATTTCCATTATAAAGTCACTGTACACTGAGACGAAATGCAGCGTGACACACAATGGAATCAACTTGCTTTCTCTGTTTCTTTTAACATAGCAGTAGACTATGTTCTCTCCAAACTAGACTCTGACACAAGAGGGATACAATGGACGTTAACCACACGACTAAGCGATCTGGAATACGCCGACGATATTTGCCTGTTAAAACAAAGGTTCCAAGATGTGGCTAATCAATCGGAAACACTTTCCACTGAAGCCAATAAAGTCAACAACAACGGAAACCATATGATCTCTTACCTGGCGAAACTGAATTCAAATTTTTACCACTGTGCCTTCTACAACTTTCTACTAAATTTCTAGGGAATCTAAAATATGCATTCCAGCTGCCGTTCATCATGTTCAAAATTCGTTGTGAATTCAGTTTCTGGTACTCCAAACAGAGTAAAGAAATAAAACATAATGGCGGTATTAGATTTTTGTTTCGATGCAGCGAGCGGCAAGCCGCTTATACGTATTTCGACCTCTTTAAGTCTCATCAGAGCGGTATATACCACTGCTCAATATTAGTAAAACCAAATCCATGAGAGTAAATGCAAGAGACAACACACTATTTACTATTAACATCATACAGATCGAAAATGTGGAAAACTTTATGTATCTTGGAAATGTCATAACAAAAAGCAGAGGTGCAGAGGATGATATTTGTATGAGTATACGAAAAGCTCAACAATCATTCAGCATGCTCAACCCTTTTTGGAGATCTGGCGAGTATACTACAAGTACAAAGATCCGCATATTCCAGTCAAATGTCATGTCTGTTCTACTCTACGGATGTGAAACCTGGAAAGTGGCAAAAACCCTTACAGATAAACTACAGGTCTTTATTTATAAATTTCTACGACGAAGTGTTCGTATTTTATGGCCTAACATCATTAGAAACGAAGATCTACTACACCTGACCGATCAAAAAGAATAGAACATCAAATAAAGTCCAGAAAGTGGGGTTGGATTGGTCACACACTTAGAAAAAATAATTCCAGTATTGAAAAGATTGCCCTAGAGCGGAATCCTCAAGGAAGATGAAAAAGAGGTCGCCCAGTATAAACTTGGAGAAGATCCATCATGGGCGAGATAAGAGGTCAAGGAAAGTCTTGGAATGAGGTGAAGGCCTTAGCGCAAAATAGAACCCGATGGCACGTTTTCACTGTAGCTTTGTGCTCCACTTAGGAGTTCAAGAACCTTTGGTATAATATTTGGAATAATAACCTTTATTATCTATATTAATAACATAGCTTGTACTTTAAGGAACGTATTGATAATAAGTTCCAGTTTGATGGCTATCTCTTGATGAAGGATCTATCTTACTGAGTCGTGTCATTCCTTGTATTTAGTTACAGCAAATGCCGGGCAGCCTCAGGTAAGATGTTGAATGGTTTCTTGAGCTTGACATCCATATCAGCATTTGTCATTTTAGACCTGAGGGTTTGTGACGATATATTTCAGGTAATTTTTGGTTGGTATAACCTGATCCTGAATTGCGAGTAATGAACCTTCTGTTTCAGGGAACTTCTTTCCCGATGTCAGCTAATATTTCGACGCTATATCGTCGACGTGGTCTTGACTGACCTCATTGTAATGTCGCCCGTGCAAAGGTTTACCCATCCAGGTGCGCATTTTTTCGTCCTTAGTAAGATGGTTTATGCGAATGGTTTTGATCGATGTTGTATCATCTACTGCACAAATCGCGCAATGTAGAATAGATATCTTAGCCTGCACCTGAAAATAAGTTCTTAAATTAGTAATCTGTTTTTCTAGTTGCTCACCTATATCCATAAGTCCTCGTCTTCCTAAATACCGCGGTAATGTCATTTTTTCTACTGCACTTCGTTGATGGTGTTTTTGTGCATTTGTGAGGCGTGCTCGAACTTTTCGCTAAAGATTTTCTATATCCGTTTTTGTTCACTAAACAATACCAAATGAGTAGCTAAGCGTGGAACATGCGTAGGTGTTTAGTGCCTTAAACAAATTTTTACTATTAAGTTATGAACGAAGCAGCTGTCTTACCCTTCGTATAAACTCGGCGTGTTGCATATCGAATCCACCGGACTGAACATTTCCTTTGATTATATTATTTAAGACACGGCACTTGTCAAGACCAAAATACATACTAATACCATTAGCAAAATTTTCTACTGTTTTCAGCATCTGATCCAGGTGGCTTCTAGTGGAATCCAATAGTTTTAAATCATCCATATACAATAGATAATTACGTTATTATTATTATTTATTTATTATTATCCAGATTTGGCCATACGGCTCATACTCCCTCTAAGGGAAAAATTCACTCATCCCAGATACCTAAGGTATCAAAAGGATTGAGCTCTGGTGACTTAGTATGTTGGAGTATCTCCCAAAAATTTTCGTACGCATCGGGACGTCGCGAAGAGTACAGCTTTTTGCATGGCCTTATAGAGATGTTCATGTTATTATTATAATTTATTATTATTATTATTTTAATCCAATCAGAGCAGTAAAATTCCCTTTATTTGTAGTTACATTGCCAGCCATAAAAAACTGGAAAAAGTCATTATACTATCTCAACACTGTAAATATTCGGTTTTACATTTTGTTTGCTACCAATATTGACATTAAATCCTAACGTACTCTATACTAACTCCTTACCATTGTTTACATTAAATGGTGAATTATTTGTTTTAAGGACATATTAGGGCAAACAATAGACAAAATAAAGGTTTTTTATATTTTCTTTTTATTGAGTTTAATGCGTCGACAACTAATGGTCATTGGCATGGTACAGTAAATTTTTACAGTCAGGTGTGTAGTGTGTGTGTGTGTGTGTGTGTGTGTGTGTGTGTGTGTGTGTGTGTGTGTGTGTGTGTGTGTGTGTGTGTGTGTGTGTGTGTGTGTGTGTGTGTGTGTGTGTGTGTGTGTGTGTGTGTGTGTGTGTGTGTGTGTGTGTGGGTGCGTGCGTGCGTGCGTGCGTGTGTGTGTGTGTGTGTGGTGCGTGCGTGCGTGCGTGCGTGCGTGCGTGCGTGCGTGCGTGCGTGCGTGCGTGCGTGATTGCGTGCGTGCGTGCGTGCGTGCGTGCGTGCGTGCGTGCGTGCGTGCGTGCGTGCGTGCGTGCGTGCGTGCGTGCGTGCGTGCGTGCGTTCGTGCGTGCGTGCGTGCGTGCGTGCGTGCGTGCGTGTGTGTGTGTGTGTGTGTGTAGAGACGTTAATTGTATCCGAACGTCTGCGGTCCCTCCGGTGAGTACCGATCGCACAAGGATAGAAATTATTTTCATTTATTAATTTTTAATAAACGAAAATTTCCACCCAGGTGAGATTCGAACTCACGACATTTAGGTTCAAAGGTACCACTGAGCCACAGAGGGGGTTGGTTTTTTATATTATATTTTTGTAATTATTAGAAGAAATAAAGGTGGTACTGTGTGGAAGCACTAGCCCACAACGAAAAAATTATTTAGCATGAAATGGAATGTAACAATTTTTGTTTTCAGATAGACATAAACCTGTATTATAGTAACAGTGCCAGCAAGAATTAATACTATTACAAGAAATAATATTAAACTCAACAGTCTTGTTTGAATCGCGTCGATTATCATTGCGCCGAGCTCTCGACATCCTCTTTGATGTCTTCTTCGGGGCTTCCAAGGTCTTGGAAGGCGCGAACATTTCTGACATTAGTATTTTAATTGGCGGGTGGAGCGGACGATATTTTTTTATGAGAGGTCTCCATGTCGAAGGTAACTGGCCTATTTTCAATAAATTTGTTAAATAAAAAATTAAGCTTGTGTTTAAACAAATTCAGGTAAATTAACCTAAAAAATGCAAACCATGGGATAAACTGTAAGTATTGATAAATCTTATATTGCAAATTATATTTTGCAAAATGGATTTTCATCTATTCCATACGAACAACAAATTGTTATTAAAAATAAGGGGAGTCCTTTCTCTAAAAATTCGAAATTTTTCGAAAGATCATACATACAGCCAGATTAAATTAGATTAATTTGGAAAACAAAATATCTACGTTTCATTTCAGTTTTACGTCGTTTAATTATTATTGTAATTTTTTAAGTTGTCAGGAATTATCATTTAGAGAACACCATGAATCGGAGAAATCAAGGTAATTATAGAGAATTTATAAAAATGTTTAAGAAATACGATTTGGAATTTTCTAATTTACTTTCTGATTCGAAAATATTTAGCGGTGTATCTAAAACAGTCCAGAATGAATCAATAGAATCAATTAGTTACATTGTGAGTAACATTATTGAATCTGGGATTCATGAAACCATTTGCTTTTCACTAAAAGTAGATGAAACTGCCGATAATATATCATGTGATTCACAATTATCAATTGTTGTTAGATACGCGTTACGTGGTCATATTTGTGAGAGGATTTTTGGTTTTACAGACGTTGAGTAAAAGCCATAAGGCAGAATGTATTTCTGGTATTTTAAAGGACAGATTAAAATTTTTTGATATCAAAAATAAATTGGTAGCGCAAACTTTTGACTGCGCTGCCGTGATGTCTGGTGAATTTAGTTTTGCAGGATACGTGAAAAAATATTATAAAATGTCGTCTTTTTTGCCAGTTTAAGCGAATTTGCCTAATTTTTCTCAAGCTCGCCTAAACGGACCAATGTTTTAGAACAGTTTGTTTTGAAAAAAAGTGCCAACAGTTTGTCAGGCGCGATGGAATTTTAAATCTCTGTTAGTTTTCACTGTAGCAGACTTTCGTGAACAGCTTTTGGAAGTTTTTGATTTTATTATTGAATGCGACGATTTTGAAAGTGATGATATCTCGATCCGTGAAGCAATCGGTTTGAAAACTTTATTAAGTGATTACTCTTTTAACATACTTTTAAATATTTTTAAGAAAGTGTTTACTCAAATTGATTTGATATTCAATATTGTTCAAAATCAGTCAACTGACATTACTTATTCCCAAAATGGAATAACAAAACTGGTGCGAAATCTCAGAGATTTTCGTAATGATACTAATTTCCAGTATATATATATATATATATATATATATATATATATATATATATATATATACATATATATATATATATATATATACGCAGTGATGTTTTGGACTCGCTTGATATTTCCGAACCCCCCAAAAAAAGACAAAGGCATCACACAGACACAGATCTCGAGAAACGAGTATATTTTGAAATTTTGGATACTATTATTATGCAAATAGTTACTCGTTTTTCGAATTTTGAAGATTTGCAAATTTTTGTCCTCTTTGACGATTCAAAATTTAAAAGTTGCGCCAAAGAATTTCCAAAATATTTATTGGACAGGTTAATTAAAAATTATCCATCATTCTTTAATAAAATAAAGTTACAAAATGAATTAAAAGTTTAATATGCTGAACCAAATATTTTCGGAAGGTGGGATAAGTTACAAGATATGTATAATTTTATACGCTGCAATTCATTATAACAAACTGTTACCGAAATTAATAAATTATTGTCATTAATTCTCTCATTGCTACCAACCTTTGCCTCAAATGAACGAGATTTCTCTTCTCTCAAAAGAATCAAAACATATTGTCGAAACACCATGAAATAAGAGAGAAGGAAAAGCTTGTCTCAAATGTCAATAGAAAAAAACTTTTAAAATCTCTCCAAAACTCTAATAAATTTTACGATGACGTTATAACCCATTTTGCTTTTCAAACAACGTAGACTAGAAGTAATTTATAAACATGTTTAGGTTCTAAATTTTTAGGAAAAAACAAAAAAAAACAAAAAAAAACTGCCATGACGATTGAAGTCTTTTCATTAGACGGTATATCTATCTGAAGAGACAAAAAATTACCGACCATGTCTCTAAAGCCACGAGCCACCACTGATGTAACAATGTTTTTTCTTTCTATCTTTTTAATTTTACTCGTAGTTTTATATACTTACTTTTTTATTACAGTTGGATGTACCTCTAATCAAGATTGCACGCCTACAGAAGAATGCGTAATAACACCTTCACAGAAATATGAGTGCATATGCAGGGATGGTAAGTTTTAATACACTCTAGTATCGACCTTCAGGATCCATTAGAAATTGACACTAGGTCAAAAACTAATTAAAGCAATGTAAGAGCTAAACCACGTGATTATTCACGACCGTAATCAAAACTCCTTTCTGGATTAATTCAACAATAGGTTAACTTACACAATCTTTGAAAAAGGTCTACGTATAATAAATACTTCGAAATTTTCACAAAACTATTATAATACAAAGCATATTGCCTTCTTAGGTTACACCCGAGATTCCCAGAATCAATGCGTGCTCATCGCAGGCTCCTGTGGCGGTGGTACGTGCGTCGACAATGCAGAATGCATATTTGATGAAGAAATCGAAACATTCTACTGTCATTGTAAAAATGGATACATTGGAGATGGAATTACTGAATGTAGGAAGAAGGTCATCGGTTGCGATACCCTTAACAACTGTGGAGAACACGCTATCTGCATATTTGAAGAACAAGAATTAGCTTATAAGTGTTTCTGTAAAGACGGGTTCTTTGGTAACGGATTTGACTGCTACGCCGAAAGAAACTGCCATATAGATCCAACCATGTGCCATCAGCAAGCTGTATGTCTTACAGGTATATTTTCTGACTACTTGCTTGAAAATTTTTATATAAGAAGCATTATATAAAATTAATATATTAATAATAATCATAAAATTAGCATTATATTACTTAATAATGTAAGTATCTCTAGTTTTTTATCCCTACTTGTTTTAAATAGCCTTAATGCTATCTTATTCATTATTTCCCAAAGATATTACAGCAATCTCTTTATTTTAAATGATTTTTTTTTGTTTTACCATATTATTTTTACTCCTTACTTAAGATACCTGCTGATTTAATATTCTGTTTACTATCGTCATTATTGTTCTAATGACTGTTTTGTAAATTTTGCCTTTCATTTCTTTCCCGATATTTTTATTTCTCCACATTATTGCACCACAAAATATATTTCTTCGTTTGTCATCACTTCTGGTGTTGGTGGTTCATTATCGTCACCTTTAGCAAATAGGAACCTATCTTTCCATGTTATTTTCTGAATGTGTTTCGTTTTTATTAATTCGTTAATCTCTTTTCTTTGTCCACTGATCATTCTCCATACTTCTTTTTGTGTTTCGTTTTTATTGATTCGTTTATCTCTTTTCTTTGTCCACTGATCATTCTCCATATTTCTTTTTGTGTTCCGTAAAAGTCGTGTTTTAACTGTTTTGAGAAGCTCTACCAGTGTTTCATTGTTATTAATCTGACTAAAGTACTCATTTCATTTCTGATTTATTTATAGTGGTTGCATGCCTGTTATGTTTGTTATGTTCTGTATTGTAAAAAGGTTTTCTTATTTTGTGCACATTTTTTCTTCACGTGTACATACCACTATTCCACGGATCCCGTATTTAGTCCTTCGACTCTGATTTTTGTTTTTGTTTACGCTTCTCTCTTGGATGTGAAGTATTTAATGATAATTCTTATTTTACATAATACTAGGCTACGGTCGCTACCTACATGTGCTTAGTTGAGTATACAGTGATGAGTGCTTTACCACCCGGCTTTTTAACGTAAGAGATAGAAAACACAGTTACCTTGTGAAATAAAAAGAGATGAAACTCGTAGAGGTGGGAAATAATCGATAGAAACCTATAATTTACATTACATTGCATTACCACCATCGATAGTCTCACACCTTTAGACGTTATAGTCGGACAATTTTCAATTAAAGGTGACTACTCTACAAATTGAACTAAACGGTAGCGGCAACCATGAAAAATTTCATTAGTAAATTCTTACCGGGGTCATTTTTATTGTGTATGCTTCGCCCATGTAAATATGTAAATTTGTAACCCATCTAAGATAAATTTGCCCCCGTAACAGTATAAATTAGTGCGATTCATGAGTGTGTAGTGAGACAAGTTCATAGAATAGTTTGGAACATCGGTAAAATTATCAATATTTTGCTGGTCTATATATATTTACGTTTTTAGAAAGAATGTTAATTAGAGAAATATGATATCTTAGTTTATTGAAGTTTATGAAATATGATATCTTCCAGATTTTATACAATGTACATAGGCGTAGTGTATTATTGGGAATATATTTATTAAATATACTTTATTATTAACTTTAAAATAGTTTTGAGGTAAGTAAAGTGAATTTGAGGCCAGTTTATTCTTTATATAGTAATAAACCCTTAACGGCCGCTCAATATACAAAGAGAAATTTGACAATTAATTTATTAGATTGGATTAAGAACACAAATTAAGAATCAATTACAACGATTTGAGATATTTTTTCTCAATTTTAAGGAAAACAGTACAATTTTTAATAAAGGAACATATTGTATCTTAAACGTAAATTAAATTTTAAGGTAAAAATTTTCAAAATATTCGGGGTGTAGATGTATTCTACACTTTTTACATAAATTAAGTACTATTTTACATAAATTATTTTACAAAGTATTACTTTTGTACATCCTACAATATTGTCGAATCTGGTTTCATCTGGTAAAGCAAATTTAGATTGACGCCCATGTACTGACACTGATGTAGGGGTTTCTTCACTATTATAAATTAAAATTATAAATCTATGTCGGCTCATGCTTTCTCTTATAATATGCACTTCTTTATCCTCATCCTTTGACCAATGCATATCAACTTGAAGCAGAGTGTAAACCAGATAATATACATATGTTAATATTTTTTTTAAATCTATGTTATTCATTTCAAGATTGTGACGATTATTCGCAATTACTTTTTTATCAAAAAGAGTGAAAAAACTTCAATATATGACTTGCCTACATGGTTGGCTTTTATATTGTCTAAATATCAATCAGACTGATGTTGAATTACTACTGAGCACGAAAGAATATCCGTTATTATAACTTGAAATAAATTTGGGTTTACTATTTTTGCCTTATTTTTACTAATTGGTTTTTTCTTTGGACGTTTTATCTGTGGTTTAGAATATCATAATCAGAATCGTTAGAATTCCCAATCACTTGTATTTCATATGTACCTACAATATCCGATTTTATTGATTCTTCACAAATAATATTATCATCAATATCTTCAAGGAATACAATAATATACCAGCAAACGAATGGGAAAGATACCTGACGGAACTGTTTAAAGCAAAGGAAAATAATAATCAACACAATAACGTACCTGAACTAAGAGACGAAATAGAAATCAGTTTTCACGAAGTAGAAATAGTCATAAATTCACTCAAAAATAGAAAGTCACCAGGACGAGACGGAATAACCAACGAGCTTCTAAAATACGGATGAGAAAGTTTAAGCCTAGAGATGACAACAGCATAATGATACCAATGGTCAAGAAAGGAGATAAAGAAGATCCCAACAATTATAGAGGTATAAATCTACTGAACACCGCACTTAAGCTTACCACAAAAGTCCTAACCAACAAAATCAATAAACTAACAACTTTATCAGATGAACAACAAGGATTCAGATCCGGATGATCCTGCGTAGACGCCGTATTTGTACTAAGACAAATCACAGAAAAGGCCATAATATCTATGTTTTATAGACCTGACAAAGGCTTTCGATCGCATAAAAGTCAAAGACGTCTTACACCTACTGTATAAAAGGAACATACCAATCAATATTATACAAACCATCGAAAGCATCTACCTCCATAATCGAATACAAGCAAAGATAAATGGAAAACTAACACAGTGTATACCAGTACAAAGCGGAGTCAGACAGGGTAACTCGTTAAGCCCACTTCTCTTTAATATATTAATGGACGAAATAATACAAGCAGTACGTAAAAGTCATGGCTACAGAATTGGGAACAAAGAAATCCAAATATTATGTTATGCAGACGACGCTGCATTAATCGCCGAGACAAAAGACGAGCTCTAAAGATTAACACATATCTTCAATACAACAGTTAAGAAATACAATATGATAATATCAGCGGAAAAATATAAATGTATGACAATTAAATACCCACTACGGTGTAAAATCGAAATTGATGGGAAAATAATGAAGCCGGAAGCAAGCGTTAGATATCTGGGAATAGATATAACTAGTTACGGAGATATTGAAGAAGAAGTACGACAGCAAAGCTTAAAAGCAAGTAAAGCGGCGGGTTCTCTTAATGACACAATCTGGAAGAACAAACACCTAAGACAAGACACAAAAACAAGAGTCTATAAAGCAGGAATTAGACCTATATTAACATACACGGCTGAGACAAGACCTGACACATCTAAAACGAGACGACTGCTAGAAACAACAGAGATGAAAATACTCCGACGAATATCAAGGAGAATGTTGGATAGGGAGAGAAGCAAAACATAAGAAGAGCATGCAATATAGAAGACATAAATGGATGGGTGACAAAACGAAAACAAAAGTGGAACAAACACATCAGTAGAATGGCGGAGGATAGAATAGTACGAATAGCACGAGATAAGTCACCAACTGGATGAAGAAGTATTGGCAGACCAAGAAAAAGATGGTGCGACAATTTAAACAATTTAGGAAGCTAATATTGAAGAAGAAACAGGCTTTAAAGCCTACAAACTAGAAGGAAGAAGAAGAAGAAGATCAATGTCTTCTACATCAGAAACTTTCTAATCTAATCTCGGCGGCAAATAAACCACATTAAGTGGCATTTTCACAATCTGAGTCTTCTTCTAACAAAGCTATTAACTCTTTAGTAGTTAGTGCCATCTTCATTTCATATTTCGAGAATTTACTGAAATAAACAAATGCACTGCTATATAAACGCATTTATATGATAATAGTTTAGATTACTTCATTTTGATTTATATGAACTTCATAATATATTTTTATATTTATGTAAACGAATAAACACAACAACCTTTCAAATTAAGTTTAAAAAAAAATAAATATAACGTTTACAGCACACAGCAATTCTATAAAGAGAATGATGTGTAATTAAAATTGCAGATTGTTTTTAGTCTAATGAAAAAAAAAATATTTTCCAAAGTTTTCTGTTTTTTGAAGTTTTGTATTAGATACTCTCTAATAAGAATAAAATTTTATTTTATTTTGTTAGACAACTATAAGATACCTGTTAAAAGAGACATGATAATTTAATAATTAAATCGGTCTTAGATTTAATTTTTACGTAATTACTTATGTGTTTAAATAAATAATTAAAAATTTTTTTGGTACGCCTCTGCAAAATTGATAATTTCAATACGATTTCGTTGAAAAGTTATCGTTAAGTACGATGTTGCCAAGTAATCACCATCCATTAAAAATTGTTTTAGTGTAGACGTGGCTATTTGACTTCAGTCATAATTATACGGATGACCTCGAAAATATAATTTTTTAATAATTTCAGATGTTAGAATAAAGTATTGAATAAATTAAGATATATTATAGTAAAAAACATTAATTAGTAACGATTTTAAATTATAAATTTTTAAGTTTATTAAATAATAAAAACAACTAAACTGAAATATTTGACTAAACTAAAGGTAGGTATGTTCTGTCCGAAAACAATTTTTGTATGTAGAGTTAATGTAATGCTTAGACACGTGGTCTATTGACAAGAAGGTTGGGGTTCAATTCACACCTAGGATAAAATTTTTGTTTTACTCAATCAAAAAATGATAAAAATGATGATACAAATTAGGTAACAAGTTTTCGACAAACTCATTATTTACAATTTATTCTTATTTCAATGTTATAAAACGGAAATACAAAATAATTCTATTTATGATTGTAATGACTGTTTTATATCAAATCCATTACTAAATTCTTAGTTTTAATACCAATTCCTCTGTACAGGTAATGATTTTCAAAACAATTGACAACATTGGAATGGATGCGCGCGAAGCGAAGCCTTTAAGCCATCAAATAATAACATATCGAGAAGTGTTTTTGCACGGTAAACAGAAACTTTTTATTGAAAAAACAATTCGTGAAAATGGTTTTAACGGTCGAGGAAAAAGTGCAAATTGTTGTCTGGCATGTGAATGGATTCTCAGACAACATGATTAGACAACAATTTGTAAATATGTTTCCAAATAGGCCGGCTCCATCACGATCAACAATTCAATCTATTATACGTAATTTTTTTACTTATGGATCCGTGTTCGCTCCAAGAGGAGTTCGTTGACGAAGGGAGGTAAATCCAGATTTGGAACTAAGAGACACTTTGATTTGTGCAAGTATTGAGCAAAATCCTAGACAATCAACATCTCGTCTCGGAGAACAATATGGAATTTCAAGATTTAGAGTTAGCGTCCTTAAAAAATAAATGTTTGGGGAGGCATAATAGGGAATTATGTCATTTTTCCATTTTTTATAGACGGTATGTTGACTGGGCGGAAATACTTGGAACTTCTGCAAAATCAAATTGACCCAGCCCTTCGTAATTTACCAATTCCTTTCGATTCCATATGGTTTCAATACGATGGTTGTCCTGCACATAATTCTCGCATCGTCAGTGAATATCTCATTGCAATTTTTCCTAATCGATTGATTAGTGGACACTGAGATATTTTTTGGCCTACAAGATCACCTGATCTTGCACCTTGTAATTTTTTATGTGGGGATATATCAAGTCCAAACTATATGGAATTGAAGACGATAGGCCTAATTATCTCCAAGAATTAAGAGAAAAGATCTCTGATTCAATGAGAGGTATTAGTCCAGAAACATTAACTAATGTTAGACGAAACTTTTATAATAGATGGTTATTGTTCTGCTGCTAATGGAGGTTTATTTGAACATTTTTTGTAAATACATTTCATTAGAATAAAATACGTTTATTTAGAATATTTTTATAGAATTTCTGCTTATTTAAACATTTTTTGTAAGTACATTTATTTAGAACTTTTTTTATGTTTGAAGAATTTTTACTTTATTTTCGAAAGTACGACATTGTTTTTTCAATAAGATTTTCATGTTTTACTATAAACACTTCTAATAAAGACTGAAATAAATGTTTTATGATTTAAAGCAAAACGATATAATATCTGCATAATTTCAAATTTTTAAAAAAGTAAAAACTTCGTGTAGGATTTGAACCCTAAGCGCCTGCATGAGTACATCGTGCCTTGAACTCTGATCCATCACTTTTATTATTCTTTAGTGACAGTTTGGGTTATTATTCTGCTGCTAATGAAGGCTTATTTAAACATATTGTAGATACGTTTATTTACAATATTTTTTTATTTTTGTAAAATTTTTACTTATTTGAACATTCTTTTAATTTTTAAGAATTTTTACTTTATTTTCGAAAGTACGACGACACTATTTTTTCAATAACATATTTATGTTTAACTTTAAACACTTCTAATACTAGTAACGACTGACATAAATGTTAAGTGATTCAAAGCAAAACGATCTCTGCATAATTTCAAATTACTAAAAAAAGAAAAAAAGAAAACCTCATGTAGGTTTTGAACTCTAATCATCAGTGTCGAATTCTTACCACTAATCCACGAAGGATTGCTAATTATTCCGTGACAAGAGTGTATGAAACTCCTCAAATCATAGTAGAAATTATTCTTGGTTAATAATTTAAAACTTTAGAATAAATAATCACTATTAATTAAATTATTTTATTCACATTTTTGCTTTATTGTGGTCAATCAGTTTTTACTTTATCTAAATTAAAAAATGGATATACGTCACACATACGACGTTAAACTGTCAAACATAATAATTATGACCGAGGCGATTAGATCGAAGCTAACGTCTAAAGGTGTGAGACTATCGATATTCGTAATGTAAATTATAGGTTTCTATCGATTATTTCCCACCTCTACGAGTTTCATCTCCTTTTATTTCACAAGGTAACTGTGTTTTCTATCTCTTACGTTAAAAAACCGGGTGATAAGGCACTCACCACTGTGTAGTGATGTATATCTCTGTTGGTTATAACATAATATATCATAGATTTTTGTCCACAGGTGTTATTGAATATATATTTGTGTTGGTCTTTGCGGTCAAAAAATATGTTGTTTATTCTAAGTTCGTTATTTGTGCAGAGGTTTATCATCAGTTCTCTATTTTCTTTTATAACATTCTCGTTGTGATTTTGCTTAAGTTCAGATGTTACTTGATTGCCTATCTGACCGTTAAAATCCCGCAATATTTATCATCTTCCCTCTGACTTGATCTATTACTTGTTGTAATTCATTATAAAACGTTTCCGTTGTTCTTTGAAGTTTATTATTTTCTAGGCCATCTCCAATGATATTTAAGTATTTCTTCTCCATTCTTAATTTTTGCTGTTACGATCTTGTCTGGTATATATTGAGACTCTTTAATATGATTCTGGTACCTTTCGTGTATTAGTAAGGCTACACGTTCTTTGGTCCTGTTTTCTTTTGCTACTCCACGGTAGATTGGTATATATTCACATAATTTTGATTCTCATTTTCCTTTCTTTATTATTGTCTGTAGAGCGCAATTGTCCACTTGTTTCTCTTTGAGCACTTGGGTTATTTCTTGTCCCTTGATCGCTTAATCAGTCAAGCGATCTGATATCCCATGTAGTGATTCTCATCTGGATTTTGGATTTTTTTCGCTTGTCCTTATTTCTTTCCGTGGTCGTTTTCATAGTATCAATCCGGTTCCAAGGCTGTACATTGTTGCTTTGAGCCGTATTCGTTTTTACGATTGGTAGGTTGCTAACCTTGCCAATCATCCTCCACATTTTATTCGGGCTTGGAACAGGCTGTGGTAACTGCTGAGCCACTTAATCCACCCCACAGTTACACTAAACAATGTTGATCTTATTATTGTTTAATATATTTGTAATTGTTTGCTTCTTGAAATAAACTTGAAACTATTACTTTCTGCGCATGGCCATTCTCTTCCAAGCGAAGTATCAAATATGGAAATTCGAATAAATTTTTTCGTATATTTCGCCTTTATATTCTCTTGCCAGTTACAACGCATATACCTACAACGCGGGTCTAAAGTCTTCCCCTACCCCCACGTATTTTTTTAACCAAAAAACAGAAACAATTAAATCTTTGAGTAGCTGAATCAAGACATGTTCATATGTTTTATATCTTAGCCACGTAATCAATAAAAATGAAATCCGTTTATTACACAATCATCAGTCCAAAAACCTCGATACTCTCGTTTTGCTTATTATTTGCTTAAATTATTAATTTTGTAAGTTTTGGCGAAATTCGTTAAAAATTGCGGAGGGCGACATTTTGTAAGATAATTTCTAATGGGATCATATGGTAAGTAATATTTAAGTCATTTTGATTGATACCCACAAGATTAAATATTCTGGTTCTATCTGGTACAATGTGTTATTGTTCCACCATTATTTAATGTTAGATGACTAGATTCTCTACCGACACAAAGGTTTTTGGATGTTGGCTCTAAATCTCAGAATTCGTACTCTTCAATTAACTTGTCCGTCATGTACTCGACGGCTCTTTTATCGTTTGATATAATTGCTTGTTATCGACCAACTGCAAAGTGTAAAGGATTGTATTTTTGAGTTATATTCCTATTTCCTATTTCTTGAATATTTCTTTCCCACTGTTCTAACAAACTACTACAACTTAGATTTTGAACTGTGTTGGCAATATACAATATTCTTGTCCCAAACTTATATTCACTGACAGTTCATCCGGATATATTTTCCTGAAATTATTTCTTCATGGTAAATAAAAGAATTGCTAACAAATAATTTATTATGTGTTTTTCAGACGCAAGCCGACGATTCTTGTGTCAGTGCAAACCTGGATATGTTGGTAATGGCACCATGTGTAAAGCAATATCTAAACATGAAGGCAATTATCTTCTTCTTAATCAAGGAATGGCTACTTTACAAATTCCTCTTGATAGAACGAGAAACAAAGTGAGAAAGCCTATTCAAGTCAAGGCTTATCAAACTGCGGTAGGTCTAGACGTAGATTGTCTCGAAGGAAGAATTTATTGGAGTGATATCAGCGGAAGGGCTATCAGTAGCTCAGCTTTAGATGGTACTGATAAAGAAAATTTTATTGTTAATGGTGAGTATATCTTTATAAGTTTGTGTTATTTTTTCTCTCAAGTGCCCTGCTTATTATGTATCTATTAATATGACTTAATAATTTAAAGATACTGTACCAACAATGCGCTCTAGATTACTAGGAAGTAAACTTAGAAGAACATCTTCATCATTATCATTAACCTGCATATGTCCACTGCTGGACATAGGTCTCCCTCAGTTCTTTCGATTTGTCTCTGTTTTATGCGGTTTGCATACTGTTATTGGTAACACGCTTCAGGTCGTCAGTCCATCTCGTTGGTGGGCGTCCTCTGCTCCGTATTGAATCTTGTCGTGGTCTTCACTCGACAATACGTTTTGTTCATCGGTTCAGAGAGACACCCAACATCTGGCGCTCCATAGCAATCTGAGTCACGCGAATCTTATTCACTACCTTTTTTGTGAGTGTTATTGTTAGAACCAGGCTAATCCTATGCGACGTGGAAGTTTACACGCCTGGTTTTCTCTACCAACCGAATTTTATGTCCTTAGTACTTATACGATGCAGTCTGCACAATATCCCTTCCCTCAACAGCAATATTTTGATTTAGCACCAGATTAGTCCTTATTTGCGTCTTGTTCATATTAATCTTTAGTCCGACCTCCAAGGAAGCGTGATATATTTTTTCAAAGATTATTATTGCATCATCCATACGATCGACTATAAGGACAATGTCACTTGCAAATCTCAAATGACTGAGTTTTTCTTCATTTATGTTATGTTATGTTATGTTATGTTATGCCATGTTCGTTCAGATGTGTCTTCTTACAAGTATGTACTAAAAGCATCGTGAATAGCTTTGGAAACTCTTCTATGCTTCTACACATTTTGTTACGTATCAAGTCACATAAAAATGTATTTTGTCTCTTTAAATCTCACATTTTCCAAAACGATTGAAACAAAGACTTCCTCTCTTCCAGTGTGATTTTGTCATTACATTTCATTTTACAACAAAATACTCTTTATATGTTGCAATGTTTTACTTTCGACAATTTTTCCGTTCTTTGACACATATCACTGTCCAGATTCAAGCTTGCTTCGTTATAGTTTGCTGATGTTAGAAAGGATTTCTAAGTCTTTTCCTACTTTTATACTTGTTGGAAGGTCCTATTTCTGTTGGATCATCATCAGAAAATGTATGCATATTTCAATCTTCATCTTCTGAACTAGAAGAATACGTTACAAGCATGTTTATTGCAAAATGATTGAGAACACATTCTAAATTATTAGGCCTAAGCCTGGATTGGTCAGAATCGAAGTCTCCGTCTAGATAGACAACAAATTCAGATGAATATGGGTGTTCATGATCACTTCTACAATGCTTCTACATTCAAATATGCTATATAAGTTGAGTGCCATTATGCTTTTAATTATGAATTAATATTACTCATATTGTACAGTGACTTACGTCACTACCTACAAAAAAAATCATAAAAAACACAAAAAACGGCTTCGGCCACCAAAAAAATTAAAACACACTAACAAAAACGGCTTCGGCCACCAAAAAAACTAACAAAAACCCCAAAACCCGGGCACGTAGGGCCCAACCCCCTTGAGCACCAAGTCGCCGAACTGAGCGGGACTCAGAGCGGAGACTTGAGGCCCAAGTAAGCAATTTTAGTTCGCGGATAAGCTACATTAAGATAAACAGGAATAAAGCGGAGATGCGCTGTCCTGAGTTTTCACATACGGTTAGGAAACCATGTTGGGGTTCAATTACCCAGGACCTCCACATGAAGAGCACTTGGCTGATTGTTGTGCCTCTATAGCGAATCAGATTGCTATAGGGGGGAAAGGGATGGTCTAGAGCATTGGAGCACGGTGGGGTGATTCCTGTTTTTAAAACACGAATTAAAACACCTTGCTCCAATGAATTGTTACACCCGATCGTACTACCTGGGTGAACATGTCTCAGAGGCTGGGTTCAATCAAATTGATTGATTGCTTACGTCACTTTCATTCTCAACAAAACAAATGTTTTGTAGAGATAAGAAACTCGTACTGCTCTTAGTGGCGAATTCATGTACTAATAACTAAAGTCACTTTCATTCTAAGTAGTATGATCAAAGAATATAGACACTTAAGTGTCTATATTATTTGGTATGATGTCAGGGGATTTAAAAAATGGACTAAACTCTTTTTTTGAAATTTTATGACTTATGCCACTTTCATTCTCACCGGTTTAAATGGATCTACGTTTAAAAAACAACCAAAAATAAAATGTCAACCTACTTATCACTATTTTTTTATTGAATGGTAGGCATAGAAAAAAAAGACAAAGTTTTATAAAAACAATTACTTACTTAGCGAATAGTATTGGAAAGCTATCAATTTAAATTTTTCTACTGTTAATAGTTTCTTATATTAATTTTTATTTTTAAATTCAGATATAGGATCACCTGAAGGTCTAGCTATAGACTGGGTTTCCCGTAACATTTACTGGACTGATTCCACGTTAGACACGATAGAAGTTGCTAACATAGAATCCAAGTTACGCCGAACCCTTTTTAACACTGATTTAGTTAACCCCAGGGGCATAGCTGTTCACCCCCAAAGAGGCAAGATTTTCTGGACAGACTGGAACCGCAAGGATCCAAAAATCGAATGGGCCAATGCTGATGGCTCCGACAGAAGAATTTTCTTGCAAGGTTCGGATGTGTCCCTTCCCAATTCTTTAACTATCGACTTCGAAACAGAACAATTATGCTATGCGGATGCTGGTACCAAGAAAATTGAATGTGTTCATCTTGATAGTAGGCAGAAACAGACTATAGCCAGTAACTGCACTTATCCATTTGGTATTACCACTACAGATAAGGAGATATTTTGGTCAGATTGGATCACGTAAGTATATATCCCATATTTAAATATGTTCAATATACAATATATAAATTCAATAGTTTTTCAGAGAGCCAAGCGGGGTAGTTGGACGAAACGTATTCACTTAATTGTGAATGATTTAGTGGATGGCTGGTTCAAACCCTGGCCATAGAATAAAAAGGCTAACGTAGGACCTAAATGGATAGGTTTATAAGATCTAGATGATAGGTTTATAATATCTAAATTAATTTACTACGATGCTTATTCAATTGAAACCTATCTTTGGCCCAGAAAAAATGGATTGGCAAATATATCTGCAAAGAATTACCATTACAATTAAGGCATATAGCCCGTTGCTTCACCAACCTATTTACACCCTGCTTAAAGAATTCTTGTGGTTGTTACTCAAAGAATTCTTATACGGCTTTTTGTGCATCTTAAAATATCTGAAACTCTCAAAGCGATAAATCGGGACTATAGAGTGAACGCTCAAATATCCTCCATTTCATTCGATGTAGATTTTCTGTCACTACTTTGGAGACATGAGCATTGTAGTGTAGAAGAATGATATCACGTGAGAGCTTCTCTGGAATTTTTCATCTTATTGCTTGATAAAACTTGTTCAAAGTTTCATTATACAGATTTGTGTTGATATGCATTCTAGGTTCTGTAAACTCTATGAGCAAGAGTCCTTTATGGTCAAAAAAATTCTAACGTGACCTTGTGTGCAGAACGTTGAACTTTAAACTTCTTTGGTAGCGGAGAATTTGCGTATTTCTATTACATCGATGATAGCCTACTGGATGGTTCAAAATAATGACACCAACACTCGTCGCCAGTAATTATTGACAAAGTCAGAATACGCAATTCTCGGCACAGAAGAGAGAACCCGTTGGGTTTCACTGTGGGATTTTCTATTAGGTAATACTCATCCATCAATAATCCAATACTCATCAATTGTGAAATTGTTTGAAAGATTGTTGGCCCTGGATTAGCTGATCGATGTCGGTATTTATTTTCAGTTTTGCATTATTTTAACTTTTCTGGTATTGAGCTTTAAGGGCAGCTAAACGTCGTGTTTTGTGTGCTGCAATGTTGCTTAAAACCTGAAACCATTGAGCTGGCGTGCTGTTTATGGTTCACGTAATATATCTCATGGTTTGATTTAATTGTGTATCTAGAACGTTAGTGTGTTGAGTGCAGCACAATATTCGGCTGTTAAAAAGATTAACGCAAGAGCGCTTGTCCTGATTGTGTGTGTATTAGCTCTCCAAGAAGTGTTTGAAAGCTTGTGACTTTAGCTGCAGCTTTATGTAAGTAGTGCTTGAAAATTACAGTACTAGCTAGTATTATAACGAGATATTTTGGGTTTGGTTATGTTTTAGAATAACTCCTTTACTTCCTATGTTTAGTGTGTGGTTTACTTCACGGCTATTTAAATGGAAAGCAGTAACGTCTGACTTTGTACGATTTGGATGAAGGCCCCATTTTTTTAAAGTATGTGTTAATAATATTTAGGTCGTCATCTCGAATAGCTTGGGTTTTCTACGCATGTTTCGTTCTTGTATACGTAAAGCCATATCGCTGTATAAATAAATTTGCGTGAAATTGTAATGGGACTGTCTTAAGTGTAAATTTTAAACAAGAGCGGCTCTAGAAACGACCCTTGGGGTAAGTCATTTTTAATTTACGTGCTTTTCCATCAATGCTAATTTGAAATAATCGGCCGCACTGCTTTTGATGTACTAGGATATTAAATGATTGTCATGGTACCATCTGGTACAATTGAAGTAGTATACTTACCTTTTGATTTTCTTTTGAAAGCCATTTTCAATAAATGTTGTTAGAGAAAGCACTGGATCACTGCAATTCCTTTCAGGCATAAACCCAACTTGTTCTACGGAAATCTTTCCACTGACAAGTTGTAAAAGCCTCGCGTATATTATCCTCTCAAAAATCTTATCATTCATCATCATCAATCAGCCCTGAGTTGTCCATTGTTGAACATAGGCCTCCTCTAGATTTTTCCATCTGCTTCTGTTCTGCGCCTCTGCTATCCAATTGGTCACGATTCTTTTGAGGTCGTCGGTTCATCGCGTTGTTGGGGGGTCTTCCTCGGCTTCGCTTGTCAGCCCGTGGTCTCCACTCAAGCAATTGTTTGTCCAACTGTCGTCTTTCATTCTTGCAACATGTCCTGCCCATCTCCATTTTTGCCTTGTAATATGTTCGATAATGTCTTTCGCTCGGGTTCGTCCACGAACTTTCTCGTTTCTTATTCTATTTCTTAAGCTTATTCCAAGCATTGATCTCTCCATCTTTCGTTGTGTCCTTCTCAATTTTTCGGCTGATTTTTTGTGAGAGTTAAAGTTTCTTGCTACGTATGTGAGGACTGGTAGAACGCACTGGTTAAAAGCTTTTCTTTTTAAGTGGATCGGTATATTTGTTTTGAATACGTCTCTCAGTTTTCCGAATGCAGCCCAACCCAGACTTATTCTTCTGAGTAGTTCGCATGTTTGGTTATCTCGCGTTAACCTTATTTCGTGACCCAAATACACATATTTTTCCACAAGTTCTATGGGCGACTTTTCGATTTCTATTAGCTCATTGGGGACGAGGTTGGACATCATTTTTGTTTTTCCATAGTTTATCTTTAAACAGACTTTCTGGGTTACTTGCTGTAGTTGTTGTAGCATAACTCTGGCTTGTCCTAAGTTGTCTGTTATGAGAACAATATCATCGGCATATCTGAGATGATTGAATATCTTTCCATCGATGCTAAACCCTTTGATTCCCACTCTGTGCCGCACCCCTCTGCCAATTTTTATCTTCTCAGTCATGCAATGGAGGTTAACGGTTGTTGTCGCATTTTCGTATATATTTCGAATAATATTTGCATACCTGTGACCTATTGTGCATTCTGATAGTGCTTTTAAGATAGCAACTGTTTCGACTGTGAAATGCTTTGTGGAAGTCGACAATGATTAGAGCAAGGAGTCTGTTATATTCCATAGATTTTTCAACCAGAGTTTTAAGGCATTGCAAATGGTCGTTTGTTTCGTGTCCCGCTCGAAATCCTGCCTGTTCTTCTGATTGATAGAAATCGTTTTGCTTCTAATCTGTTTGTCAGTATTCGAGTAAAGAGCTTGTATAGGTGGTTAAGAAAACTAATTGGGCTATAGTTTTCGAGATCTAATTTATCCCCTTTTTTGTGGAGGAGGATTGTAACCGAATTCTTCCATTTACTTGGAATGTTTTCACTATGCAGACATAGATTAAAAAGTGTTTGGATTCGGGACATCAAAAGTGAACCTCCTAGTTTAATTGTCTCAATGACTACAATATCTTCCCCCGGAGCTCTATTATTTTTCATATTTTTGAGGGCATGTTGAATTTCCTCTCGTGATATATCTGGTATATCCTCCGATCCTACATTATGTACCTTTTGTATTGGTTGTTCGATGAGCTCTGGAATAACGTGACTTTTATATAATGTTTCATAGAAACTTTCCACTATATGTAATATGCTTGGTCTATCTGAGATAATATTTCCATTTTTGACTTTAAGTTGGAAGATTTCTTTTCTGTCAATTTCCATTTTTTTCCTCAATGATTTCATGTTTTTGTTGTCTTCTATAGTTTTTATAATTTTCTAGTTGTTGTATTTTCTAATGTCCCGTCTGATGGCTTTAGAGATTTCTTTATTGATGCTGTTTATATCTTGTGAGTCAACATTTCCTTGACTTCTCATTATTCTACGATCTTCCATTTTTTGTTTCGTTTCTTTACTAATTTTTTGTTCTTTTCCATGTTTAGGGCCAAATTTTTCCTGAGCCTGTGTTAATGTATCTACTATTTCTTCGTTTAGGTTATTTGCGTCTTCTCTTGTTTTTCTGAGTAAGTTACTGGTGATATATTTTTTTGTCAGTGATGATGAAGTCGATCTCATTTTTTGTCTTACCATCGGGGCTCTTCCAAGTCCATCTTCTATGGATCTTCTTATAGAAGAAGCTATTCATTAAATATAGATTGGTTTCTAATAGGAAATTTAAAAGTATTTCGCCCCTTTCCTTTCTACCTGGTGTGCCTAAATTTCCGAGGGCATTTTCAGCTGAGTTGGTGCTTATTCCTATTTTGGCATTAATGTCGCCACATATTACCGTAAAATGTCCTTGGTCTTCTAAAACAGCTGTATACAAGTCATCTTAGAACTGTTCTATTTCTTCGTCAGCGTGACTCGATGTTGGTGCATAGACTTAAATGATCTTTATGGAGTAACGGGTGTTTACTTGTAATTTTGCAAGTATAACTCTTGTGGAAACTGCTTTTACTGATATGTCTCCTATAAGATAAAAATCTTATAGGAGTCACTTAAAAGGACTCTTGGTCTGTAACTCTCCGGTAGTGAAGTCTATTTGCTAGTTTACAGATTACGGTGACTTTGCTTTGTTTTAATAGTTTAGGGATATTTTGCGTCGTCATTATTTGGTTGAATAGAGAATCTAGGAGGCACTTTCAAGTTTTTGCAGCAGTGTGTTTTATGAACTCGGGAAATATTTTTCAACTACTACAACTTTGCGAGACTTAATTAAGTGTCTATTGCGTTGAAAAGTTCCTCGATTTCTATTTGCCTTATGATCGGCAGGCTTTGGTGATGTGCAGTTTTGATATTTTTAAGCTGATATCGTACTTCCCTTTTATCAATTTTTTTTATGATTGACTTGGAGAACTAGGCAATGCGTTTCGCGATGTCTTCTGAGTTTGGCAATGAAGGGTTAGTTGTCGGGATGTTAGGACTGTTATCAGGTTTTTATGTAGGTTCCAGGCAGTGTGGCTTCTTCTTCTTCCTCTTTATAAGCAATTATGCATGTTCATTAGCGGATTAATAGTTCTATGGAAGGATCTCACTCCATCTTTTGCGCGGTCGTCCGATAGTTCTTCTGCCGATTTGTGACATATCTTGCTATTTTAACGACAAGGGTCTCCTCCATTTTGTTTATATGGTTATTTCATTTTTTTTCTATTTTTTTTCAGTCATTTATACACTGTACGTTATATTTTCTTCTAATGTCTTCACTTCTCTTTCGATCTGTCAGCGTATTTCCTGTAATTCTTCTCAGTACTCTCATCTCTGCCGTTTCCAGTAGCCTTTGTGTTGTGGCTGTGTTGGGTCTTGTTGCTGAGGCAAATGCCATTATTGTTCTTACATTGGCTTTATAAATTCTTGACTTCATCTCAGTGTTAAGGTGTCTGTTATCTATAATGTCGGGATATAGTGTTTAGGGATCCTGCCAGTCTATTTGCTATTTGTAGGTACTTGATCTCTTATTTCTTTGTCCAGGTCTCCATAGCTAGACAGTTTAATTCTCAGGTATTTTATTTCCATTATTTGTTCAATACTGGTGCCATCAATTTCTATTTTACATCTGGTTGGTTCTTTGCTGACTACTATTGTTTTAGTTTTCTAAAATGAGACGTTCGTATTAGATTATTTTGCTCTTATGTTAAATCTGTGGACCAGTCTTTGCAGACTATCTTCATTTTGGGCTATCAATATTGCGTTGTCTGCGTAACGGAGTATTTTTATTGCTTTGTTTTCCCTTCTGTATCCTCTTCCTTTGTTAGCGCTTTTGATGATTTCATCCATGATCAAATTGAAGAGCATGAGGCTCAATGAATCTCCTTGTCTTATTCCGCTGCCTAGTTCTATAGGTTCTGTAAGTTGTCCATCTCTTCTGACTTCCATTTTCTTGTTTTGGTAGATGTTTTCGATAGTTTTTCTAATATTTAAGAGAAGTTCTCTATTATACAGAAGATGGATTACATCTTTGAGTCTTACTCTGTCAAACGCTTTCTTTAGGTCAATCACACAGAGAAATGCTGGTCTATTATACTCTGATGATTTCTCAGTAATTTGCTTTATAACTAATATTGCATCTGTACACGATCGTCCACTACGAAAACCCTGTTGTTCATCTGCTAAACGTATCCTCTGAATTATTAGCACTTGTAAAAGTGTAAGTTTTAGCGTAATATTTAACAAGTTTATACCTCTGTAGTTTTCTGGCTGGTTTTAATCTTCTGTTTTGAATAGTAGAATTAGTTCGCTCGTTCTCCATTCTTGCGGTATTTTATTGTGTTTTATATATTTATTAATTAATGTTGTTAATTGTTATGTCATTGCTGCTGATTGTTGTCATTGCCTATGTTTTTGCTCTGCATAGAGCTTTTTTAGGTAGTCACTTCACGTATTCTTTGTATCTGTTTTAGTTATATTAGTTCCTTTACTTTTTTACTTTCCTATATTTTTTGTAGATCGTAAAAGCCATGCTTTATTTCCTCCAAAAACCGTTCCCAGTGATCATTTTCTATTTTTCTTATAAGTGCATGTGTTTCGTTTTTAATTGGCTTGTAATTATGGTATTCCTCTTGTATTTTGGTTGACATCTATTTCAGGTAAGCTTTTTTCTTTTCTTTGCATTTTTCCTTCACCTCTGTAGAAAATAGTGTGGCTTATGTGGTAAAGTTAAGGTTTTCGAGAGTTTCTCTCCACCTGGTGGTTCTTGCAGAATTCAGAGAATCTCGAAGTTGTTCACCTACATCCGTGTGCATCACATTAGGCCGCATGGTATGTGTTTTTTAGCACAACTAATTATAAGTTTGGCCAAATCTTTCGTAGTTTTCTACATTAGACTTAACAGGTCTGACATCGTTCTCCAATTGGGCTTGATACTTATCCCAGTTTTCCTGACGAAAGTTCAATCTAGGTAGAGGAATTCAGTTTATAATGGGAATAGTAATACCCGCAGTTATAACTGGCCTATTCTGCTATTTTGGGAAATTATCAAAAACTTCTCTGGTGCCATGGTTATGGCAGTCATCTTTGGTGGATATAAATGTTAGATCTGGGTTGTAGCCTTTTTCCATTTACATGAAGAAAAGGTAGGCTCCTGTTTTGCATCGTGTAAAAGTCTTAAGACGCTTGAGCTCCGCCCATTCAATTACTTGTTTGCATTGAAGTTTGTATTGGTTACATCTCCATGCAGTGTGATATGATTATTGAAATCTCCTGTGAAATTGATGGATGCGGGAATGAAGGAAGCACTTCTAGTGGCCATATTAAATTTAAATAAAAAACTAATCTAAACTACTAAAAAATACTACTTTAGAAAGATATAAAATAGACACATACTTCCCATGACTAATTTATCAATTTAGTAGGTTTGCACTAACGATTATATCTTTTACAGAAAAAAAATTGAAAGAGTAGAAAAATACAACTTAAAGCGGCTTCCACCTCTACCTGTCCCACTAGGAGGCACCGGAAACAGGCTATTTGCACTTGTAGCTGTAGCAAACAAGTGTCCATCTTTAACCAACGTCTGCGAGTACTACAAGAATCAATGTCCCAAAGATCACATCTGTCTTCCGAACGGCTTAGGTGGCAAACAGTGTCTGTGTGGCAAAGATTCACAAAACACCGACGTTACACCAAGTTGTAATTTATAGATAAATTGAGTAAATCGAAATAATTATAAAGGTGTAAGCACAATAATTGAACAATATTTCTATTAGTAATATAAAATAAAAAAACTCTTTGCAATAGTTAACAATGTTCTATAACTACTTATCAGCACCTAAAATATTTTTCTTGGTCTCTTAATTCAACTGTCCCACCTAATCTTGCTATTTCTTTAGTTTCATTTGGTTTTTTTCTGCTTCACAATTGGTGTATATTCATTGAAGAATAATCATTTTTCTACTCCTTTTACTTACCTCTTGTATGTAATGCTACTTGTTTCGTTTATATCTTCTTTTCTACTCGCTTTAAATACCCTATTTGAGTCGTATTATGTTATTAACGGTTTCATATATTGTAAACTTAATCATTTTTGCATATCACCCATCTGTTTTCTATGTTGAGTACATCATTATTTAATCCAAAAATCTACACTCGAATTGGTCGAAGGTATAGGTACTTATGTATATACGCCAATCAGAGCAAGCAGTTATCCCACATCACTGGTCCAGAAAAATAAATACGTCGGTCTTAAAATGTTCAGCGATTATGTCCTATATAGGACATATTACGCCATATTGGCAGTTATTTAGTATTTTTTCGGTAATTATTTAGAATCTCTATTTTCTATATTCTTGTTTTGGTTCTCTCCAAGTAACACACGCATGTCTCTACATTTGCGTTTTCACTGTTTCAATGCGTTCGCAAGATATATTTTTTCATAAGGCTTTGATTAAAGTGAAGCTAATGTTTCTAGTAATACTTTCCGAAGTTTGTTTATAGGACGTATCTTTTGCCTTCTACATGTCACTAAACATAGTGTGTATTTTGATTAGTGAATTAATATATATATATATATATATATATATATATATATATATATATATATATATATATATATATTAAAGCCCTTTTCTCTATTCGGATTACCGAATATAGGCCTTTCCTGATTCTTGCCATTCATCCCTGTTGTTTGTAAGACGTTTACACATTGGCCCTGTAGTTTACCTTCTTCCTCGTAGTCTTTTGACTTCATATTATTCATGGCCGCCAATTCCTGATTTATTTATTCCATCGGCCATCCTTAAGACGTTCGTTATGTCCAGCCCGTTTCCATTTCAGTTTAGCTGCCTGTTCCACGGCATCTTTTACTTTTGTTCTATTACGAATGTCTTCATTGGTTTTATCGTCTTTGAACGAGATACCCAGCACCTGTCGTTCCACAGCTTTCTGAGTTTTACTGATCTTCTCCATGTTGTCTTCCGAACGCTGCCCATCCCAGTTTACACGTTTGCTTATTTCGGTAGACTGATTTTCTTTGCTTATCTTGACATTTTGACCCAGATATGTATATTCATCTACGTGTTCTATCTCTGTCCCTTCGATGTTTATCATAGGTTTGTCATCTTTGTTTGACATTAGTTTAGTTTTGCTGAAATTAATTTTCAGTACATTACATATTACATACAGTACATATATATATATATATATATATATATATATATATATATATATACGAACAAGATAATACGTTACCGCACCAGATAAATATTCATTTAAGTATCGAAGCCTCTTCATTATCATTTCTTGTCCATCACACAACAGGATCTGAGAAGTCCCTTACAGAAGATTATACATTTTGTTTTTGGATTTTATTGGTCTCCATGTGGGATTTTACTTTTACTAAGACCCTTCATTTATTCGTTAAATTATTCGTGTCTCGGTTGCTTTGAATTAATAAATGATATATATCGACAATATATTTTTCAATCGACAGAGATTTGCATTCACTTCAACCTTGCTGTTAGGGTTGTTTCAAAACTTCACGAACCTTCGAAATATGCACGCCCGAAAAAATAAATGAATCCTAAAAACACTAACTATTTTAATTTCTTACTAAATTCAAATAAAATATTAAAAAGGGCTATAACTATTTTACTAATGCAAAAACTAGTTTGGCTCTGTCTTGCTATGATAATGCACTCCAGACAATTAAATATTTTCAATATTGTCGGATTTCATAGCTTCGTTCCTAGATTGTCATCATCAAATGAGAGTCAGGTTCATGAAATTTTGCAAGACAAATAATCTGATCGTGTCTCATCAAAGTAAAACCGTTTTTTGTAATTTATAATTAAAAAAGATTATTAGTTTCACATTTTCCAGACCACAATATTACCAAATAATCTAGTTATTATTGTTCAACAATTGCTTGTGCCATCGACTAAAAATTATTTTGAAATATATAAGTGTTAGACTGAGTGTTTAATTAGGAACAGTACAAAATGTAAAATAAAACTAATTTTTTGTAAAAAATATGTTGTTCTTATTTTCCTTATACTAACAATATACAATAATCACTTATCACAATCTAGACAATTAATATAATCTAACAAAGAACAACACAAATAAAATAAATAAAATTATATTGAGGGTATGATTACACAACATATACAGGGTGGATACCACTTATGGAATAAAATTATTTCTGTCCTTGGTTTAAAAAATTTATAAAAACCCTGAGATCCGTCGATTCGGAAAATCGACTCGTCGATTTATATATATATATAATATATATATATATATATATATATATATAAATGTGCCCATTTTAAACATAATTTTAAATGTACAGGTTGATTCACGCAAGACTAGCATAGTCCATATGCATTATTTTTAATGGGGCACAATATATATTTATATTTTTAAAAGCAGCTTAACAACCTATCTCAACGAATTATATCAAGGGTCAATTATGAATAATACAGGGTGAAATTTTGAAATTATAAAATGTAGAAACCATTTATGGCATATGTATATTTTTATGTTTTTAGAAGTTACTTTACAACCTCATGTTAAAAGCATATTATGTAGAGTATATTATGAATAATTCAAGGTGAAATTTTGAAACTGTATAATATTCAAGATATTAAATACATTAAATAAAATTTTGAAATTAATAATTTATCCCACTTTAAATTATGGTATTTTTGTAAATTAGCTAAATACAGGCATCAATGTTCTTAACTTAGTATCAATACTATTAGCGCTTGTATTTAACTTCTGACGAAAAATATACATAATTTCAAAATTTCACCTTTTATTATTCATATAAGTTTATTAAAATTAGGTCGTTAAGAAGAACTGGACTATGCTAGACCTGCATAAATCACCGTGTAAATTTAAATTTATATTTAAAAAGCGCACATGTGAATTTAAAAGTTGATTTGTTTCTAAAATAAAGCCAAACAATTTTATTCTATAAGTGGTTACCACACTGTATAGTTTCACAATTTCATTCTGTAATATTCATAATATACATTTCGTTGAGATCAGATTACTATGGAGCTTTTAAAAATATACAGGGTGTTTCATTAAAATTAAATCTTTTGGACTATGCTGGGCTTGCGTGAGTTAACCTGTAAATCCCCTTGGTCCTAGGGTTTTTTATAAAGGACAGAAATAATGTCATTGCATAAGTGGTTTTCCCCCTGTATATGTAATACTAAAAACTGCAGTAGTAGTTACCTACAAATGTCGATAAACTAAATAGGGGTTGTCAGATATGGCGAGAAAACAACATTGGCCCGTTAAGGAACCAGGCGGTTAGCTCAGACAGTAGAAATCGCAGTGATATCCACAAAAACGTATTTGTACAACTGATAAGGAAGGAAATGGGAAACCACCTAATTATATTCCTCTAGTAATAGTTATGGCTGTAGACAATGACAAGCAATAAGTTACTAATCATGGTTATTGGATACCAAGATACACCAAGAAGTGGAAAAGAGAACAATGACAGAGAGGGATAAAAACCGATAAATCTCTTGTTCCAAGCCAAATACCGAGAAATATTAGAATCGACATATATATCCTACCTATTCAACAATGCTTAGATATTAACCAAAACCTTTACGACTGCTTTATAGATTACAACAAAGCCAACACACCCAGGGATAAATCCGAGTTTTCCTTTACAATATTAGGTATGCTGATGTTAATCTAATAGTAAGCCAAGTTCATGCAAATTAGTAAGAGCAACAATAATAACGAAAGACTAATGGTAGGAGGTCATTATATCGAAAGAGTAAACAAGTATATGTACCTTGGAATACTAACAAAATAGCTAATACATTGCCGAAAGAAAAGTTTTACAATTAAAAAAAATTAAAAACACGTGCCAAGTTTATAAAAATGCCATAGACTACATGTTATGTATCCTATTGAGTTGAAACGTGGACACTAAATCAAGAGGCGACGAGAAGACTTCTTCTTTGATATATAAAAGTATAGAACGAGTATTAGGTGGATGTAATAATTGCCCACCTCCGTAAAGAAGATGACATTTGAGGAAAAATACAAACGGCGCAAACCATCTGGTAACATCGGCTGTGTGCTATTATTGTTGCAATGGTCAAGATATAACTGTAATTCTCTCTCTCCCTCTCTCTTTAATCCTGGCGCCCATTTGTTTCAGCTGTATCTTCTGTGCTAGCCTTCTTTGGTACATTTCTCTTGTAGAGTCGTTCCACAGTGATTCTACATTGAATTTTTCCTCGGTGATCTTTTGGAGAAAATGTTTTGGTGTTATTTTTATTCTTATTTTTGCTAGTACTACTTTGTGTTCACTCTCTGCGTCTGCTGAGTGTAAGGTTCGGATATCTAGAATCTGCTTGTGGTGGATTTTTCTACTAGTGACTATAAAGTCAATCATAGGTTTGTGCCCCTGGAGTTTTCAAATTTTTATTTATATTGGAAAAGGCAATGGTATGGAAAATCAAATACATCGTTATTTAGAGCTGCTCTCAATAAAGTCACGATAGCGAATATGGTAGCCAACATGATATCCAACGATCGATAAAAGTCATGAAACTAGAAGAAGATTGGAAATATGTGGAGATGCCGAATATTATTTTTTTCCTGAATATATTGAATCGCAAAAGCGAGATCGAAAAAAGTCTCATGGATCGAATTGTTGATCACAGGGATT